TCTAAGATCAGGATACATGAAAAAAGTGTATAGGACAGTGTGCCTGTGATTATTTAAGATATTGCAATTACTCTGATTGGACATCCAAGATTTAATGGCCAAGTCCATTAGTTATCAATCCAAATAAAGAATGAGTCCCACACAACGAGGCCCATCCTGGTCTTAGTGGAACAGTTGTATGCATCTGTTGATGAAAATTGGAAAATAGTCCCCAGCAGGGACTGACTGCTGCAGCATGAGGAAATAGAGCTGAACTGGGCAGAATGCTTTTAGCAGGTACCAGGGGCTACCAAAGACAATGAAACTCATTAAAAACAGTTTGCAGGTGGTGAAAAGTTCTCCAGCGAGCTGTCAGGAGTATTCCATGATGGAAAGTGCAGCACATGGGCTGTTTTCCAATACCCTATTGATTTATTTGTCTGTGTCATTGTGCAGTTCTTATCCCGTCTGTCACTGGACAGTTACTATGCTGCAACCATTGGCAAAAGGAGATATGAGTTATAGCTAATCGGTACTTGTCTTTTTGTATCCTAAATGGGAAAATAGATACAGCAAGCAAGAAACACCAGAGAAGATAAAAAGAAGAGGCAGTAACAATCGGCTGAGTAAAATTGGAAGAAGAAAGTTGAATTGAAAATTTACTAGATAGATTTGGAGAAGAGAATATAAATAACACTGACATGTCAAGACCTCAAAGAGCAAAATAATCCACGAACAAATAGAACACATATTATTACATTAAGGAGTGCATCTATTATATGTGTGAGGAGAGATGTCAGCAGAATAAGTACATGATCAAATGAAAACCAGATTGGTTACAATCCAGCCTATACTTAGACATGATGGCTTTCAGATGATCTTAAGTAGGCATAACTATATAATGGGTTAGAGACTCTTTGATGTCAAATGAAGCTACACAGCCCTATTCTATAGCATTAGAAATGTGCAGTGAGATGCCATTATTTTCATAGCCATTTTCAGTTTCCCCTAATGGGCATTATTAAGAATGCCTCCATGCAAAAGTGGATTTTCAGTTTTCTCATCAATACTATTTTCTAAATTACTGGATAAATCTTGTGCACTATTAGTACACATCCTTCTTCAACATCACACATGGCATTTCCTGCTGCAAGCATACACATACCCATGCAGAACTAAGTCCCATTACATCCAGTGGTGCTCCTGCCCAGATAAGTGGGCATAGCATCGCATTGTTAATTGCATACCATCCCTCTTTGAAAAGCATTGACATTTGCACTCACTTCTGGCTTATATGAGTTGCACCACAACACCTGGTCAAACCAGCCTGGACCTGGGCAGCGGCAGATCTGCATCATTCTTGCATACTTGACTTGATCACTCAACAATTTGTTTTTGCTGTCTCAAAACATGGGCTGATGCAAATATGGAAGATGGGATCCTAGCTAAGAGGAGACCCAATGAAATCAGATGACTGATTTCAATAGATCTACTTCAGATTACAGTTAGATACTACCCCTGGACTAGAAGTGCCAGCAATTTTTGTCTAAGCATGTCTGGGTCTTACGACTGACAGTGTAAGGACTGCCTGCTCCCATATCAAACTGCTCGTCTGCTTCAGTCATCTACTGATGCTGTCCACTGAGCGAGTACCTTGAGGGGTTCAGAGAAGATCTAGTTTTCCATTGCCTTTTCAGTGGTTGCTAAGAAAGTCTCAGAATTTCTTCAGCACTACAACAGATGTCGAGCAATTGCCACCTGCAGTTTTCATTTTGTGTTTCAATTGGATCCATATAGTTAAACTTAGAACAGGCTGATTGAAATCAGTGGGATTCTAACTAGTCTGATGACTAACCGCTATTACTGTATCTCATTGGTGAGTGTGTTTTAAATGAATGGTTTGAAAGGTAGCATTTAAATCTCCCAAATACATGCATAAATAAATGCAGTTAAATTTACTAATACTGTGCAGTTCACCGCATAATTTACTAATCAGGGAACTTAAAATCTCAGTTGTGTTGCCCTAGAGGCTAGGTGGATATACATTGGAAGGCAGGGCCCAGTGTTGTTTGTCATGCTGTTTTGGTTGCAGCATGGATTTTTCCTTGACATGCAGAGGGCTTCTTTTACACCCACTCACAAATGTGAATGTAAAAGCACACAGACTACTATTTTTTGCTCATTCTCCATACAGCTGTGGGAAGCAAAGTATGGCAAATGCTTTGATCTCTGCAAATCCTCTTTGCTTGACATACACTGAGGTTAATGCAAAGCAACCAGGAAGGAGCCAATAGGAAAGTTAAAGCAGAGCAACAGCATTTCTGTCCCTTTCATCTTCCTCTATTTTGCAGATGGTGCAGCAGCTCATTGCCTTTGTTTCATTTTGGGACACTCACATACATTTGGGAATGTTTTCCCATTCACCTAGTAGGGGAGAATTAGAGGAACTAGATTAATACTGTACACTCAAGAACTACCAGCACAAGCACAGTGCATTAAGTGAATTCCTTAAACAAAAGGAAGACTTTATAGGCTGCTATTAGCGGTCACCATATTAACACCAGTATTAGCATGATCGGTCAAGCTTTCTCCTAAAGGGCATTAAAAGGAAAACATGCTTCTTTATAACCATGAGCCATTCATAAAACTTCAGTTGGTATAATAACACACAAAAAAACAGCTTTATGAGCCATCAATATCCAAATCCTCATGGAAGCAGAACACACAATTGCTGTGGCAGGAAAAGAGCTTTCCTAGTAAAGGCAGGCAGGAATACAGAAATACATACATAAAGTGCACTTATATATTTGCCTTATAGCTCTTTTAGAAATATAGTGCCTCAGAATGCACCTGGGGGTTGGGGAACTTGACTTAAAGTTTTGCATACAAAAAATTCCATCGCTCAAACGAAAAGAACATTTTGTGGCTGTTGCTAAAACAACAAAAATGGAAAAGGGAAAGCTGTCAGATAGTCTCATACAATCTAGTGGCAACCTATACTTTTCACCATTTTGCCTGTGCTCCTTGGAGATTCTAAATTTTATTTCATGTGTATATCTTTGTATAAAATCACGTGCTAACTATTCATGAAGATATGTTGACAAAATAATATTTTAAGATTTTTCACATGATGTGACGTAACTGCTCAGTGTCATGCACCAGTGAGATACATCTTAAATACAGTCTTCTCAACTGAGGATATATATACTAAATGTTTTGTGTTTTTCAAAATTGAAACCCTTACATAAAATGCATGATATAGAGCTATGAAATTGTATGGAATCACATGCAGAGGTCCAGCTAGCTTTAAGAAGGCTGTGAGCAAGTTGCTTTTCTGCTCCGTCCCACCAGTCAGCCCCCCTCCCTCCCCTGAACTGCTGCAACCAAGCTGCCTTCCCACTTCCTCTTAAAAATAGCCAAACTTGGTGGTGGGTTTCTGAGAGGAGACTTCCCCAGCAGTAGCTAGAGATATCACTTGACCTTCAGGACCATTTAGCCATGGCTTTTCCCCAGTACAAGTAGCCCCCCAGTTAGGAATGTCTGAGTTACAAATACCTCGTACTTAGGAATGAGCTTTCATAAAGTCTGATCTTTTAAAAATATACTGATTAAAATTGTCATCACCGTAGAGAGAGAGGAATTGAAAGGGGAGAGAAGAAGGGCTTCCAAAGCATCACCATAGAGAGAAGGAAAGCAAAAAGGGAGAGAGCAGCCTTCAAAGCATGCCTTCCTACTCCACCCATCTGGAGAGGGAAATCTCAGGAATGGAATTCATTCATAACTCAGAAGCTGCCTGTACAATGTACTTGGCAAGTGTGCATAGAACTGCAGCCATAGTTATCCAGATGCATTGGGAAACAGTATTTAGATACATGGTATCAATTAGTAGAATAACTACATGGAAATTTCAAAGCTGCAAATCTCATGGGAATTCTTGGGCTCCATCCTCCCTTAAATTCATGTTGCGTTTGATATCAATGCATGAGGAACCAAACTTTTGATGAATTGCTAGCAGTTTTCAGGTTCTAAACACAGCAGGATGTGAGGGAAGCCAGAGATGCTACATTACCAATGCAAAGACATTATCAGCAGGGCAATTAGCTCAAATGGCATGGTGACAAATTTTGTACGGGGAGTTGCTACACATCATTAAAAATTGCTGTACCTTGAGAGAATATTTGTTATTATGGAGAACCCTAGCAATGTGACAAAGTTGCTTTCCTGTGCAAGAAGAGGAAGGATGTGCTTTTATTAACTGGTTGAGAGAAAAATATAGAAATCCTTGTATGAGAACTGTAAACTCTGCATCAGGACCAGTGTGGTCATCTTTGGTCCCTCAAGTTCAAAGGGAATACATTCTAATTGAACCCATTTGTCTACTTACTAAGAATCACTAAGAAGATTGTGGAAGTTCCTCTCCCAATAGATCAGCTAGACTGTGCTTTGACTCTCTTATTTCAGCCAACCTAGTGCTTGGTCTGGACACTGCATTATGGCTTTATCTTGCTACTGTCATAATATAAAGTGATAGTTATTTTATTGTTTTTGTATGAGAACAGCTCTTCAGGTCTTCTCTACCAATAGCAAAACTGGGCAACAAAGTTCTCTACATCATGGAGAAGAACCATGTAACAAACCACAGTACATGCTTTTCTGTTGGAGTGGAGCAGCTGATATCACAATTATTTCCATGATAAAGCTCATGTGTAAGGTATTCCTGACTGCTACACCACCTTGTAGCAGAACCTATAGATGTGTCTTCTGCAACCTGACTCCTGATCCCCGTATTCCTGACCATCGGCCATGCAGACTTGAGCTAATGGAACCTGGTGTTCCAAATACTTGGAGGACATCAGGTTTGGGGAAGGCTGGAATAGATGGGTAGCAGCAAGACAGACCACTTTTTCACAGTTCAACCAGTCCTTCCTCATTATTCAGAACATGGTGGCTCAACTACATTATCCAAGTCCAGATGTTAAAAGGGGGTATGGGGACTGGATGGACGGTGAGTTGCTACTTACACGCAAACTGAAGTGTAGCTTCTCTGCTTAGAATGCTGCCAAACATGTTGGTGGTAAGGCACTGATACTGGCCAGCATCTTTTGTTTCACTGGGATTGTTGATGATGATGGTCCCTTCTATGATGCTGAGGCGGTAATCGCTTTCAATGTTGACCTCTGTCCCATTCCGGAGCCATCTTGGGAGGAAATCAGAAAAAGCGTCAGTTCAAGAAAATGTGGAGGATTTAAACTAATCATTGATATCATTGATAGCATTCCACAACAGATTTTCAGAAAATAGACATGATGCAGGGAATCTGTGTACAGAACCCATTAAGTCATTTTTAATGTTAAAGAGTAGCTTTTGGAATGCCTATTTTATATCAGTTTATACCAGAGTAGGACAATTTATATCAGGGAAAGATAGGGAAGAGGGAGGATTAACCCTTTCCCATGCTCCATTTTCCCATTTGAACACTTTCCCCATCTCCCTCCCTCTCTTCCTCTCTCCCTCTCCCTCTCCCTCTCTCTCACACACACTAAGAGTGGGGGAGAAGGGGGAGAGAGGGATAGCTAGAAAGATAGATTTGAATCTAAGATCTGTCCCATGGAAGAAAATATGCAAGAAGAACATTGCAGAGGAAATGGTTCAGTGCTAAATCACATGCTTAGCATGCAGAAAGTCCACTTTCAATCCATCTCAATCCATGGCAGATTCAGGAAGTAGAAGAAAATCTCCTGCTTGAAACACCAGACAGCTGCTGCAAGTCAAGGCTGGCCAGTGGTTTGACGCACTATAAGGCAAAACTGAATGTTTCATATACAATTGTGTTGTCTGTCCTTCTTGTGAGCCCTTTAAGGGACAATTGTTTTCAAGCTCTGGTCTTGTTCCTAGCTAGCAGATGATGCATAGTACCCCTTAATTCTAGAGATAGTTCAAATATGGAGGAGGAGAATGTCTTGCAACTTGGCCTTCCCTAACCTGGTGCTATACATCTGTTTTGGCCTACAACTCCCATCCTCTCTGTTCATTGGAGGAGATGGGTGGGGCTGCTGGGAGTTGAAGTTTAAAACATCAGGAGGACAGAGGTTGGGAACAGGCTGTTCTAACTGTAGTTCCCAGAGTTTCTGACATAAGCTTACATTTCATTGCCTCTGTCTATGCAGTCTGAGTCCTGCAAGACTGCAATGTTCAGGTTATGCGCAGAAAGAATAGGTACACACAACTTGTATATGCACCAAGTTTAGGTAGAAGATTAAAGCAATGTATTGAAGACAAGAGTTGGGTCAGCAGGCATGGCACCCTCTCCTTCATGGGTACTTTATCTCCAAAATGCATCCCTCTGATCATGCCTCTGCTGCTCCAGGGAAAAGAGCAAATTCCTTATCTCTGAAGACATATTTAAGGATTGGGTCACCTTAGCCTACAATTGTGCAACACAACATCCGTCTTTTTGAAACTCTCCTTGCCTACCAAAGAGAAAGAGAGACTATTCAAGAATGTCTAGCAAGGGCATTAACCTGTCTTGATCCCCAGAATAGGGACGAACATAATAAATTATAAATCTTTAGAGGATGACTCCAGGAAATGTGTGACAAAAATTCAATTTTGTTCATGTTTGAATAAGAACTAACTTAATGTGCTCTTCCAAAAACAGCATACAAAGTTATTGCAGTTATTTATTGGTTTTTCCACTTCTCAGAAAGTTGTAAAGCCCTTCTTTATTTAAAAAGGTGTGCAAAAATGAATATATTAAGGAAAACTGTGTACAAAAATGGGTCTTTAGGAGAAACACACATAAAAGGCTTTGGGTAAGTCCACTTCTGTGTGCTTTTCTTTGTTTTTGCTTTAGTCAATGAGGCAAGTGGGTAGGATGAATTTAGGACCACAAACAGGTGAGCACATCACAGGTTATACAGGTTCTCCATCCCTACATGTTGGTACCTGTAAGTAGGAGAAGGATTTCCTCGTGCTTGACAGCTGAGGGACACCTTCTTCTCATCTGAATCCACAGGGAAAATCACATTATCAGGCTCCTGTATAAATACCGGCCCATAATCGACATTTTCTGTGAAGACAGAAAGGACAAGTTCTTTCAGAGGTCACAGCAAAGACTTTCTGTGATTCTAGCATAGTAAATATTTTTGTTTTTGTGCGGCTGGGACTTGTCTCAGATCTGACCCATACAGTGTGTGCCTATCCCTCAGCTGATTATAAGAAAGGCAGACTTGTGCTTGAATGAATGGCAGCGGGTCTAACACCACAGTTAGAAGATCTTTGCATCTGGAGTTACCACCTAGCCAGAGAAACAACCAGTTTGGCTTGCTTCTGTATGCTTTGCAAAATGCTACATCAGTCAGTGGAGATCATTATGTCATGCAGCTTTAGCACTGGGTCATTTTTGTGTGAGGTGAGGAATAACTCTTGAGTAAGATTTCATTTCATTTACATCATTTCCAGGCTGTCAAACAGCCATTTGTCTGGGCAATTCACAAAAATGGCAACCAAAAATTCAATACAATCAAAATCTAATATGGAATTGTTAATATACAAAATTCAAAAGTGATTGAACCAACACCTCTTCTCCTTTTACTGGTTCTTAGTGAAGGCAGATGCCCCATTATGGACAGAATCCAATCAGGTGCTTTTGCCCCCACCAATTCTCTTGCACCCTGATGCACAAACAGTTCTGACCACTACAGCAACAGAAATTTAATGGTTCAGAGGCAACACGAAAGGACCAGAAACTCTTTTTTTGGAAGAAGGTAGTTGACAGAACTTCCCCAAGGGAGCTCTGCCAGAAACAAGCATTTTTGCTCATTTCAGGGCTTCCCTTAGGAAGTTCTAAATCTCCCTTGTGTAAGTGATGGGCCCCAGTTGCACAGGCTAATGGTATCCTTTAGAATCAAACATTTCCCATCTTTTATATCATATAAGGTTGACTTATGTTGACAGCAGCAGAATTTTCCTACAACAGGCAGCTGTGCTGCTGAATTTTATTCATGTTTACTTGGATGCAAGATTGCCATCGTAGCAGAAAGAATCTGGCTTGGCAGGGTGTTCTTTGCTTTTGGATCAGTTGGCTGAAAACTAAGGGGCACAACTTGCTTCCTTGCCCTCATTTTCTCATGGCCCATCTTGCAGTTTCTGCATTAGTTTGTTCCAGAAACTGTTTGCTTCCAGCTCTGGGTCTGTATTGGCAAAAGGCCTCTGCCGGTGCTCCTACTACTCAGTGCCCAAACCCTTGCCATGCTGGGTTCCACCCAGGTGCAACCCTATTCCATTAGTGTTGCTTTTGTTTATTTATTTATTTAGAAATATTAGACTGTCCTTTACTGAAGTCTTGGGACAATAAGACAAAAATGAAATAAAACACAGCACCCTAATCATTTTCTAATAAAACCTATATTAAAATAACAGTCAAACCTTAAAATATTGGGAAAATAAAACGATTTTAACCTGGTGCTGAAAAGAATAAAGTGACGGCACCAGGTGAACCTGTATGGGGAAGCTGGTGGTTCTTTTATATAAGAACCAGCAGCTTCACTCAGAAATAAATCTCACTGGCCCATTCATTCTGTGCCACTCTCAACTAAGTATACTTGACACTGAAGCCTTAAATTATTCCTGCACATGTTATGTTATGTATTCTTGAAGTCATGTCCAACTCATGACAACTCCATAGACAACATTCCTCCAGGTCTTCCTGTCTTCCACCATCCTCCAGAGTCCACTTAAGCTCACACTGACTGTTGCAGTGACTCCATCTATCCGCTTTATTTTCTGCCGCCCCTTCTTCTTTTGCCATCAATCATTTCCAGCATTAGAGAATGCAATATCAAGTATTTATCAAAAACAGTCAGCCAGGATCTTAATTAATGGAGAACTTTCAAACTCTATAGAGATCCAAAAGGGCACAAGACAAGGATGTCTGCTGTCACCCCTGTTGTTTATTTTGATCTTAGAGGTACTGAATAGAAGTGTTAGGGATGACGAGGACATCAAAGGCACTAGAATTAGGGACGAAAGTTATAAATTGCAACCATTCGCAGATGTTTTGGTCTTCATAACGAAGGAAACTTTTGTAACAATGCCTAAACTTTTGCAACGGATTGAAGAGTATGGTGGGGTTAAAGGAATGAAAATAAATAGAGAAAAAATGAAACTGTTAGTTAAAAACTTTACCTGAGACCAAAATGAAAGACTCTAGGAACAAATAGATTTGCAGATTGTTAAAAAGGTTAAATATTTGGGAATCTATCTTACAGCCAAATGTACTACTTTGAAAGAAGATAATTATGATAAATTATTGAAAGATATTAAAGGTGATCTGGAAAAATGGGCCAATTTACAATTGTCTTTGATGGGAAGAACAGCACTTGTTAAAACGAATATACTACCAAAACTTCTGTTTTTGTTCCAAATGATTCCTGTAAAAATTGGTAAAAAATTCTTTGATGACCTAAACTTTCAAATTTCGAGATTTATCTGGAGAAAAAAACCAAGGATTAAATTAAAAATGCTTCAAGAAGCTAAAACGAATGGAGATTTTGGTCTTCCTGATTGGATGTTGTATTACCAAGTGTCTGTTTTAGTTTGGCTAAAAGAATGGATAACTTTGTGAAATAAGAGAATTTTGTATCTTGAAGGTCATGATTTGCAGATGGGTTGGCATGCTTATACGTGGTACGAGAAAGCTAAGTCACATGGGTCTTTTCTGAGTCATTTTATTAGAAGATCATTAATGTCAGTGTGGGAAAAACTAAAGTTAAAAGTGTATAATAAACTACCAAGATGGCTTTCACCTATGGAAGCTTTTGTATATCCAAATGTACTGAACTTTGAAGGGATCATAAGATATGACGATATTTTGGATAAGGACGGTGGCTTGAAACTGGATCAAGAAATACAAGAACAGGGACTTAATATCTCCTGGTGGTATAAGGTGCAGATGCAATCGAGATATGCTATAGATTGTAAAGCATAGGGGTTTTACAAAGACTTGAGCTTGATCAAGTGATGCTTAAAACAGATGAGAAAGCTATTAAAAGATTATATGATTTTTTACTTGACAGGGAAGGGGAACAGGTTAAGGAAACTATGATAACATGGGCACAAAATTTTGGATTTAATGTTGAACTAGAAAAGTGGCAAAAACTATGGGAAAGAAATATTAAGGTAACATTAGCAACTTCGTATAAAGAAAATTTATATAAAATGTTTTATAGATGGTATTTGTCGCCAAGTCGATTAGCTAAGATGTTTCCAAACATGTCAAATGTAAACATAAAGTGAGTACTTTTTATCATATGTGGTGGACTTGTGATAATGTGAAAAGTATTGGATTAAAATACATAAATGGATGGAGGAAATACTACAAAAACCCTTTGCTTTTAAACCTGAAGTTTTCTTGTTAGGCATCTTACAGGAAGATATTAACAGACAGGAAATGATTTGATGTTACACTTAATCACAGCGGTGAGGATTGCATTTGCTCAATACTGGAAAAGTAAGGAACTACCCACCGATGAACTGATTTTAAGGAAGATTTTGGACTTTGCAGAAATGGATAGATTGACTTTATCATTGAAGGAGAAAGAAGACACTGACTTCTATCAAACTTGGGATTTTTTCTATAATTGGCGGGAGAAACAGGACTTGGCATAAATTTAGAGATGTTTTCAAGTTATTATAAACTGATTTGAATTTGACTATAGAATGTTAAAAAATATGTAGTAGGGGGTTGATCCAGTAAATCCGATGCACGTGATGTTTGTAGTATTAGTTTAAAATATTAATAAAACTTAAAAAAAATCATTTCCAGCGTTAGGGTCTTCTTCAGTGAGTCCTTCCTTCTTATCACATCTTATACCTGGGTCAAATTCTGGAAGTCCTCAGTTTGTCGATACATAGCACATACATGGCACAAAAGTATTATTTTTTAATGCCTTCTTTTATACACCCTCTTCATGGGCACCTTCCCGTTTCAGAAGTAGATACTCCAAAACAATCTCACAGGTCCAGACTATTCTCAAAGGCCTGCCAGAAAAGGGGGAAAGTGCCTGCCTGTAGAAAGCATAACAGGGAGAGTTCCAATCTAGCCTCCCTGGGAAGGGAGTTCCAGAGCCTCAGGGAGCCAATTAAAAAGGATCTCTCCTGTATTCCCACCAAATATGCCTGTGAAGGAGGTGGGATCAAGAGGATTGTCTCCCTAAAGATCTTATGGTCTGGACAGGCACACTGGGAAGAACAGTCTTTGAAATAGCATGGACTGGAACCATATGGGCCTTCGTAGGTTGCAACCAGCACTTTATGACATCTTTTTGTATTGTATCCAGCACTCAGCAAAGGAGTGGCATGGTCCCTTTAGCAAGCCCCATGTGGCAGCAGCTCTCTGAGCTAGCTGGAGTTTCTGAAAATTTTTCAAAATTCTGCTTTCTACACAAATGTGGAGATCATGGTATTCTGTGCATTTTCTGCAAAATCGCCCATGATGAGAACACGGATCTAGCATAGTTTGTGTGCAAATGAACTGATTGTTACCCAAAGGCACATGGTCCTCATGTGACTTGTGCAAATTTCAAGAGGACAATGTGCATTTCAGGGTATTAATTTGTGTGAATCAGTTAATTAAATGACAATCGTGCTAGAGCCGCCTGGTGTCAGCTTGCACATACTGGTTGATTTTGTGGGCAAGTTTACCATAAATTGTAACCCAGCTTAGAAAAAGAAGTCCATGAGCTGGCCTGGTTTGCACCATAGTGGGTCAGAGCCAGCACAGGGCTGGCAAACTGGAATTGTGGAGCTGAATAAAAATCCAATGAATTTCCACCATTTATCAAATGGTATGTGAGGTCCATGGCTATAGTCAACGTTGTTGTTGTTGTTGTTGTTGTTGTTGTTGCTAGTTACAAAGTTGCATCCAACCCATCATGATCCATGGACAACATTCCTCCAGGCCTTCCTGTCCTCTACCATCCCCGGGAGTCCACTTAAGCTCACACTGACTGTTTCAGTGACTCCATCCAGCCACCTCATCCTCTGCCATCCCCTTCTTCTTTTGCCATC